CTTTGTCATGTGATTCTCAACAGGCTGTTTTGTTTTGTTTTGTTTGGGTACTGGAAATCGAACTCAGGATCTTGTGCTTGCCAGGCAGGCGCTGTGCCACTGAGCTGAATTCTTGGCCCCTTAGACAGTAGTTTTTAGAGATTATTTTTTGTCTTCTGAGATCGGGTCTCACTGTGTAGTCTAAATTGGCCTTGAACTCACAGTATAGCCCAGGCTGGCCTTTAGTTTGTGATCCTTTTTTTTTTTTTTTTTTTTGTCTTTTTCCTTTTTATCAGTACTGGGGATCAAACTCACAACCGCCTGCTTGCAAGGCAGGTGCTTATGCCGCTGAGCTAAATCCTCAGCCCTTGTGATCCTTCTTTTCTTCTCTCCCCTCTTCCTTTTTCTTCTCTCCCCTCCCCTCCCCTCCCCTTCCCTCCCCTCCCCTTCCCTTCCCGTCTCTTCGGCAGAGCCTTACTACAGTTCGGGCTGGCCTGGATGCACTGTGTAGCCCATGCTGGCCTCAGACTCTCAGTGTCCTTCTGCCTTGGCCTCCTAAGTGCCACCACACCTGGCAAGGGGATTTACTCTCAGTCCTGCCTTCTCACCTTGTGAACTAACCCTTTCCTGTCTGAGTCTGCCGTGTCCTCAGCGCAGGCTCTTTGCTCATCAGCATGCTTCTGGGTCTGTGAGCTCTGTGTTTTCTTCCATCCTTTCTCTCGACCTTGATGGCAATCTTGAATAACGATGTTTTGAGGCTTTCAAGAGATACATGACTCAGATACATCTGCTGCTCTGTCTCTTGCCTCTATCTGGTCATGTCTTTCTAGGACTAATCCATCTTGTTCTGTAGCGCGGGCCTCGGAAAACCTAGTCTTTATTTCATTAACCCTCTGTAGAGAAAATAACCCCCCAGCACAGTGCTGCTGCAAAATATGGTGCCACATACCTGTGCCCCAGGTGCCAGGGTCCACAGTCTAATCTCTCCTGCTCTGCAGACCACTAGTTCCTAAGGGGGACCTGGTGGCACCTGGGGGATGTGCCAGTGCTCTCTTAAGTTTGCTTTTTTACATTTAGCTCAATAATATCTAAGGGATAATAAGATGCTTTTATGTCTGCATTGATACAGATAACTATTTATTCCCCTCAAAAGTTAACTGTTTTGGGGCCGAGAACTTAGCTCAGCAGTTCAGCCTCTGCCTGGCAAGAATGAGGTCATAAGTTGATCCCCCGTACCAAAAAAAGTTAACTGTTTTACCATGTGCATGGTGGTAAACGATTGTGATCCCAGTGCTTGGGAGGATGAGGCAGGAGGAAGGATCACAGTGAGTTCAAGGCCAGCCTGGACTACAAAGTGAATTTGAGGCCAGCCTGAACTGCATAGTAAAACCCTTTCTCAAAAAGACAAAAAACAAAGAAACCCAGTTAACTGTCTTAATGCTGTCAGCTAGTTCATCTTTCCTTGCTAGCTTAATACCACCTTTACCAATAATTGCATTTTCTTATTGCAATGGCAAACAGAAACACCGAAGCTACACCCAGGATTTGGAGGCAGATTTATTTTATGTTGATGGGTAATGAATAGAATCACTCCCAAAATATCAGGCCCTGGTCTCTGGTGGTCTAGGGCTTGTAAGGGATAAGCAAACAGGAAATACAGAGGCAGAATGGCTTGTCGGTTGGGGATTGGTTAATATAATGTGCATCATGGTGACCAGCTATGCATCAGAGTGACCAACCATTTCTAAGAGACAGGAGCAACCGGAAGTGGAACAGGAGCTATTACCTGGGCAACTAACAAATTGACATATACTGGCTAGAGGAGACATTTTCTGTTACAGTATAAATATGTGTGTTTCAGTAATTTGTATTTTGTTTCACTCATCTATCTTTTTGTTTTGTTTGGGGTACAGAGAGTTGAATCACGGTGCATTGAGCTGTGCATTGAGCTGCATCCCCAGTTTGTTTTTGTCCAGGCTGGGCTCTTAACTCACATCCTCTTTTTCTCAGCCTCCCAGAATACTGAGATTTCAAGTGTGTTTCATCACTCCCAGTTTTATTCCTATTTTAATATGCTATTTGAATTACCAAATCATCATGAAGAATTTTTTTTGTTTTTTATTTTTGTCTTTTTGAGACAGGGCTTCATTATGTAGTTCAGGTTGGCCTCAGACTCACTTTGTAGCCCAGGCTGGCCTTGAATTTGCAGTGTTCCTCCTGCCTCAGCCTCCCAAGTGCTGGGATTACAGGGGTGTGCCACCACGTCCATCCCAATGAAAAGTTCTGATAGTCAGCTGACTATCAGATGGCATATGCCATCATACCTACCAAATTTTTAAAAAAAAAATAAAATGTATGCCTATAATCCCAATTTTCTGAAAGGCTGAGGCAGGAGAATCTGAAGTTCCAGCTCAGCCTGGGCAATTTAATGAGTTCCAAGACCTTGTCTCAAAATAAATAAGAAAAACATGGGTCCCAGTGTGTGGAGTGGACAGAGAAAGCTGCCAAGGTCAGTTAGTCCCTCCGTCCCTTCTCCAGTTCTGGTTATCTGGGCAGTTGCCCTTCCCAAAGCACAGACTCAAAGCTCATTCCCTGCAGAGGGTGAAGGAAGGGCCTCGGGGGACCAAGAATAGCGCAGGGAGACTCGGCGAATGTGCGCGTCTTGGTCCCTCCAGCCTGCTTCCCACTCGGCCCACAGCTCTGCCTCTGGTCCTTTACAGTCCAGGCCAGAGAGCGTAGGCTTTCCCTGGAAATTCTGACTGACCTAAGGAAAAGGAAAAAGGGGCCCGGGGTGACCCTCAGCTGATGGCCATGATTGTAGAGCTCTTTTAACTAGCCTTTTCTTTCTCTTTCTCTCTCTCTTTTTTTTTTTTTTTTTTTTTTTTTGTCTTTTTGAGACAGGGTCTCGCTGTGCAGTTCAGGCTGGCCTTGGGCTCACTTTGTAGCCTAGGCTGGTTTCGAACTCACAACCATCCTCCTACCTCAACCACCCAGTGCTGGGATTACAGGCGTGAGCCACCACGCCCAGCTCATAACCAGCCTTTTCTTTTCATGAATGAAAGACTGGAGACTTACCAGACATCTGAGGAAAACCTGTAATGTGCAAGAAAGCAACAAAATGAACAAACAATAAAATGCAACTTGGGAAAACCTGGACACCATGCAAAGAAAAGGAAACTGAAAAAACCCAGCCTGTCCTTAAAGCTACAGAGAAATAAAAGAAGACAAACAAAACTGGGTGCTTAACAAACAAACACTCAGAACACAATTAGCTCTTAGAAATTAAAAATCTGGAGGCAGGCATGAGGCCCACAGCTGTAATCCCAGCACTTGGGAGTTGAAGCAGGAGTTTCAAGATCATTGCAAGATTGAGGCCAGCCTGGGCTCCCTAGTGAGACCCTGTCTCAAAATAAATTAATTAATCAAGATAAAAAGCAGAAAGCCTGGTATGGCGCATTCCTGTAATCCCAGCACTTTGGAGGCTGAGGCAGGAGAACTGTTTGCAAGTTCGAGACCAGCCTGGGCTACAGGGTGAGTTCAAGGCCAGCCTGAACTGCATAGTGAGACTCTGTCTCAAAAAGACAAAACAAAACAAAAATCCACGAAAGATCAGAGAAGAGATGGAAACTAACAAGAGCCCACCTGAGTTGGCATTGTAAAAGATTAGGTAGCTTTCTCAGAATGAGCAGAGATGGCCAGTGGAGGGAAAAGAGGGAAGGGAGACAGCCCAGCGCCTGAACGAAAAGCTCCAGAGAGATTAATTAGGGCTGTGAAGTGAGGAAATTCTTAACGGAAGATTTTGATGAAATGTCCCAATACTAACCTTTGGTTTCTGAGGGTGAAGTACCTGGTACACAGCACAGCAGCCCACATGGTACCGTGTCACCTCGCAGTGAGCATCTGGCACTGCTACAGGTGTGGGGTTACACAGTGATGCTATGAACGACTGTGTCTCAGGGTGTACGTGTGTATGTATTTCTGCTAGGTGTTGTCTAAGGAGCAGAATTGCTGGGTCCGAGAGTATTAATGTGTAATGTCAGTAATTTTCCAGTGCATTTGGTGTCTTGCAGAACACCATCCACTGGTTACCACTTCCAGGGCAGGCTATCAGGGTTTCTTGTGTCTTGCTGTGAGAGTCCCTGGGGGAAAATTGCAGTGGAGCCCTGGGTGGAACGACATGTTACTTACATGCTGAAGGGACAGAACAAGGTTAGCGCCAGCTGTGTGCACTGGTCCCTCTGACCAGTGGGTCTTCCGTGGGCCCTGAGGGACAGTTGCCTGTGTGTACCCATCTTGTGTCACAGTGGAAGGATGTGCCTGGTTGGGGTCACTTGCAGTCCTCCAGTGAAACCCATTCTCATGCAGTGTTGAACAACTGATGACAGTGCTGACAATGACAGTGTTGAAAAGAGGTCGTTCTCTGAAAGAGCCAAGAAAGTGCAGGCAGAGCTGGAGGAAGTAGCTTAGGGGTAGTGTTTGCCTGCCATGCACAAGGCCATGATTCCATCCCCAGCACCCCAGAAAAAAGGGTGCTATCTGGATGTGTTTATATGATGATTTTCACTCATTCATTCATTCACTCATTTATGCATGCTTCTGATATATTATACTAAAAGGTTAAAATTGTAGACCTGCATTTTAAGCTGGTTTGTTTTGCTTTTTGAGACAGTGTCTTGTGGGCCTTCAACTCATCCTGCCTCAGCCTCTCTAGTGCTGAACTGCAGGCGTGCACCACCATGACCAGCTATAAATATTTTGAAGTTTACTGTTACATGAGCAGGCAAAACTATGTGAATGCTAATAATGAAAATTTGGTGCCTATATTGCAAGGTTTTCCTGTCTTAGATGGTCCCCGTGCACTGGGGTAAGCAGGGCAGTCAGCTTTTGCAGGAGACAAAAAGGGCAAGTTTGTTTGGTTTTTAGATATAGTGTAAGTAAATAGTATCATGATTTCTCCTTTGTTTTGAACTGTGACATTGATAAACCTGTTATTTCTCTTTATCCTTTTTTTTCTTTTCTAGGTTTTTGTGGAGACTCTGGATAAGTGTTTTGAAAATGTTTGTGAACTGGATTTGATCTTCCATATGGATAAGGTATGTTCTCTGCCACATTAGGGTTGCTGGAAAACTAAGAGAGTAGAGCATCACAAGCCACCTTTAAACCTTCATAGTGTTTCTCTCAGCTTTTCACTCTAACATTGTACCAGGACCTGTTTTATTTACTGACTTCATAAGCTGGGGGGTCTTTTGCTAAGCCCTAGTAAGTTTTTTGTTTGTTTGACTATACAGGGTCTCACTGTATAGTTCATGCCAACCGTGAACTTGTGCATAATCTCATACTTTGGACTCTCCTGACTCAGCTTGTTGAGTGCTGATATTACAGGCGTGTGCTGCTATGCCTGGCTGTTACAGTTTTAACATGTAGTACAAGATTATTACTGGACCTGTACCACGGTTCCTCTATTCACAGACAGACTGCTTGGTATAGGTAACAATGACAGTGGAATAATTGGTCTCCAGACTAAGGCGACAGGCACGGTTTTGTGTTAAATGAGTTTGCCAGCCCTCGGCAGTGACAGTAACTTGGGAGTACATAACACAGGTAAATTTGTGTCTTCCTCGGGAACAAGATAGTAGCTAATGCATCTGTAAGTGCTTCCAGGTGAGGTGACATTAAGAGGCACACTCAGTGGCAGAATCAAAACGGTCCCAAGTAGTGTTCTAGTGATTTGTTTTGCTAGGGCCCAGGTCCTCATGTGCCAAATTAAAGGAGGAGGTAGCCAGGGAGGGGATGGGAATGTGTTTTTGTTTTATCCAGGAGGGCACATGATGTCTCAGGGGTATTCTCTGGTGACCCAGCTGCATGTCACTAGTCCACGGCCTTTGGAAGGAGATAGGATTTCGGAGGCTGTTGCTCCATGCCAGGCCATGATCTTGAGTCATTTGTTTTTTTTTTGTATGACAAACAGCTCCGTATCTCAGGTGCATCATAGCTGTCATTGCCATCTGGAGGATTTTATTGCCATCATACAGTGACACTGTCAGGCAGTGCATTCCTGTTCAGCTGATGAAAAGGCGTGGCCTTTTCTCCCAGCACTAGTGTGGCCTGGGCTCCAGCAATGGCAGCAAGGGGATCACAGATCCCTCTGTCCTCTGTAGATACCGGGCTCAGGACCCTGACACGTCACAAGGAGTCCAGGGCTTCCTGAAGCTCTTGAGGTGTCGCTCTCTTGTCCTTCGATGCGAACGCTTCCTACAAACTCCAGCCTTCACCTGGCTCTTGCCTCACAGGCAGAGTTGGTTTGCATTCGGCAGTTGTTAAAAGTCCTGCTACCTAGTTGTTTCTATCGAGGATTGTTTGACTTCCCCTTTGTACTAGTGGACAGCGAAGTTTATAGGCCTTATTGGGTTTTTTGGGGGGTACTGGGGATTGAACTCACAACTCGTGCTTGCCAGGTAGGTGCTTATGCTGCTGAGCTAAATCCCCAGCCCCTAGGCCTTACTGTTCTTACTTTGAAACATTTTTAAAATTGTGAAATGTGAGGTGTTACCTAAGGGGCTGCCTCTTGGTGTACAAAATGACATCCTTTGTGGATACCACTGATCACTACCAGGCCAGCAATGAGTTTCTCAGTATGTCGGTGTGGATTAAGGGACAGATTTTGCTGGCACAATGGGAGTTTTCCAAACAAGAGAATAGAAGGCACAGATCCCTCATCCCCACTTTGTCCCCATGGCGGGAGTCTGCCGAGGTGACTGCTCACCTTCCTCATTACTGTCCCTCATTCCTGTTCCTTTTTACCCCACAGCGTGGACATAGCTCACCAGTGAAGAGGCACCCAGAGTGTTTGGGCACCCACAGGCCTCATCTGAGCGCCGGCTGTCCATAGAGCTTGTCTTGGAGTGCCAGATGTCTGGTGATGAGATGCCTAGAGAGACAGCTGTGGGTGTGCTGTAAAGGTGGGCTTGGGTGCTGCATCCCCTGGGAGTACAGGAGCCCCCCTCAGTCCAAGCTGCTTAAGGTGTGGCCAGCCCTGAGTGTGCTTCCGAGGAGTTGTGCCGAGTGCCAGTATATTGTTTTGTATGTTACCTTCTTTGCTTGATATTGTTTGCAAGACTGATCCATTTTATTGTGAGTGTCCTTTTCCAGAGTGGTTGCATGAATTTGTATTCATACCAGTTGAGGTGAGTTTCTCACTGCCTCTTGTCCTGACCAAAAGTTGGTGTTCTCAGTATGGTAATCTCGGTATTGTTGATGAAGTGATTTCCAGTTCTTTACCTTCTGGGACACAGGGTGGAATTACCCATCTGTGCCTTAGGTGTAGCTGTGTGAGTGGGATATAGAGGAAAGAAACTCCCAACCTGCTAGATGTCTGATACGAGTTTGTGTTATCTAAAATCGAAAAATGAATTTTAGGAACAATGGAAGTTAAGAGCAGAAAATATTTATTGAAAGAAAGCTTCTGTCTGAGAGAGACAGACAGAGGGTCTTGAGTGGGTTGCCAAAGACCCCACCTTCTCTAGGGATCTTTTTTTTCGTTTTTATCCGTACCAGGGATTGAACTCACGACTGCCTGCTTTCGAGGCAGGCACTTATGCCGCTGAGCTAAATCCCCAGCCTAGGGATCTTTATAGAACAAAACCATGAGGTGATGTAGGTCCAAAGTGGGGAAAAATGAGAACTTGCAAGGGGGGCATGAGGTAAGACAGAATTATGGCCAACCATTAAGATTATGAGTACAGTTGCTCAGGTAAGATTGATTAAATTAGGGTCCAGTAGGGAGAAGTGAGCTATACAGCAAGTGGGGACAGGGTCTTTGCCTGTCTGGGTTGGATTAGTGGCTTCATCTGGCTTCCTCAAGATGATCAAGGTGTCAACCTATTTAGAATATCAATCCCTGATGTTTATCCTTAGGGTATGGCTGCATTTGTTTTGTCTTTTCTCTTGTAATCTGGCCAACATCAGAGGTGTCTGTTTCCCCCACAGTTACAAGGTATTTGGTCTTCTGCACTGGCTCCTTGAGGGCCTATCCCTGTCTGGCTACCTTTAATATTTCTGTCTAATTCAATTGCCTATGACAAATGTAGCTAATGAAACGTCAGTAGACGTGACATGTGACACTTCTAGGCAATACTGTAAGAGCCCGTGCACAAATCTCCCTTTTTCCTGCTTCTGTGGTTGTGGAAGAATGAATACAGCCTCCCTTGGTTGTGTTAAAGGGACTGATTTTTATATTTGATCTATAGACATTTTACCCAAGTTTCTTCCAATCCTTGTGCCTCAACCAGGCGTGTAGCACACACCTGTAATCCCTGCATTTGAGAGGCTGAGGCCAGAGGATCAGGAAGATACCTGGGAGTTCAAGGCCAGCCTAGGTTACAAAGTAAGTTCAAGGCCAGACTGAATTGCATTGCATAGAGAGCCTGTCTCAGAAAGACAATAGAAATAAAAAACAAAGCTTTTCCTTTATCTCCTGAGGTAATCAGGATTTTTTTTTCCTCATTTTTTTTTTTTTTTTTTGTCTTTTTCATTTTTATCCGTACCAGGGATCGAACTCACAACCACCTGCTTGCAAGGCAGGTGCTTATGCCGCTGAGCTAAATCCCCAGCCCCTTTTGCCTCATTCTCACGCTGTTTTTTAAACAGCTATGAGGATGTCTGCTGGGGCAGTAAAACAATTCCAGTGCCGGCTATTTTATCAGACATAGCTTTAGGAAGAAATAAAAGACCATAAAAATGTTGCTCTTTCTTATATGTCTTATCTTCACATAAGTTCTATAAAGTATTTTGCTGTTGCTACAGATTTTGCTTACTGTTTATAAAACTATTTTTAGCCAGGTGTGGTGATGGATGCCTGTAATTCCAGCACTTGGGCTGAGGCAGGAGGATTTCTAGTTCAAGGCCAAGTTGGGCAACATAGCAAGTTGAGGGGTGGTTTGGGCTATAGAGTGAGACCCAGGTTCGTTCAAACAAAAGAAACCAGAAACAAACAAATAAACCAAACTCCACAAAACTTCATTTTTGGTCATTCAGGTGGCACTGGGAAATGACTGTTCATGTCATGTGGGGCTTGAAGTGACAGTGAAGGAGCCAGTCTTGCCTGCCCCGTCACCTGCCTGTACCAATAGTGTGTCTGAAGGGTTTCCTGAAGGGACTTCCTCGGGTGAAATTTAGCTTCCTTCAGGGGTATCTTCTACTGATAGACTTAGGGCTTTGTTTATGTTTTCTTTTACATATATAGACTCGTCACAAGGCCGTAGTACATCACTGAGTTCCGTGTCCTCCTTTAGACTCTTCCCATGTTGGGGTTAGATGTTCCTACGAGCCCCAGCTCTCCAAGTCTGCCCCTTGCCTTGTGGGCGTGGTCCTGAGTAGCAGGCTAGGGAGAGACAGGACACCACCGTATTCCTGCTGCTGGACAGCCCTGCTACGTATGAGACCCTGCCTGGAAGTGAAACAGAAAGTTCTGTGTGTACAATAAATAATGCACTTGGGCAATTAACATTAATGAACACTCTCTTTCAATATAGTTCAGGTTTAAATGTGCCCAATAGTGACATATATAGGTGTGTATCATATATAACAAAATGTTACATTATTTATTATAGCTATAGATATAAAATCCCAGTTTCAGTTATGAGTCAAGTGTTGCCTTTAATTATTATGTTTCTAGATTTCAATCATTTATTAGGATTTTTAACGCCATTCTCTCTTCCTTGTTGATTCTATACACTGGAGTTAGTTTTCCTAAGTCATTCCCTGGCCTAGCCTTGACCCCCTTGGCTAGCACTCAAGGTCTTCAGTACCAGTTCTGGTCAGAGAGTCCAGATCACCTGGTAGCCCCCTGGAGCTCCAGCTGCTGCTCTGACAGCACGTCTATTGCGTACTGGATCCTGCCTGTCATTCTCGCCCAGCTCAGCTCCTGCCCACAAAGCTGTCCCCATCCCCTAGTAAGTCTCATGTCTTTGGGCCATCATGTGTGCAACTGTTTCTAACCTTGTGGGCCCTTAGCGTCGTGTTTCTGTTTCCCCACTTAATTGGACAGTCCTTATGTGGGTTTTTACTGTTGTATCCTTCACTGAATAGTGTCTTT